AAGGTTAAGATTATAGTTTATAGTTATCGAGAAGCTTTAGAATGTGTTTCTTTAGAGAACATTGTTAATATTTTTATTCAAAGTATTATATATAAGTTATTTTTTGTAAGTACATATTATTTTTATATATTTTTTTGTACAAAAATATGTTCTCCTCGCTTCCAATATAAAAAAATATTTTCAATATTATAAATAAATAAATATACTAATATAGTTGATACCAATAAAATACGAAATAACTGATAAATGTATCTATTAAGCTCGCAGCAGATAGCTTCGTTTTGTTTTCCAATCCAATATGCAATCAAGGGTCTTTGGTTTATTTTCGAAGTAATTTAAAAAAAAAAAAGTGGAACAAAACGTTGAAGTAAAATATTTGCTAACTAAGAAGCCAAGCAACCGATGTCAAATTTGGCAGCAGCATGCCCTTTTTTGCGAGTGGGTTTCATTGTTTTAATACCCTGTAGCTATTAACAATAGGTAAACTAGGGTATAAAGGTTTATTGTGTGTGTATGTGACAAGTCCATGGCGACATATCTGAATATAAAACTTATATCTTCTAGATCAGAATCAATAGATCAGTGTAACTGTGCGATCAAATCTATTTCGTACTGTCGATAGCTGTCAAAATCGATAAATATCGGTTTTCAATTTGTTATTTAAAAATGAACATATAGACTTCCCTTTTGTATACAAAGCTCCAGAAGATTTGACTTTCGTATTTTATCTCCGCCTGGCATTTTGTATGACAGCTTGTAACTGGATACAGGGTATCTTCTAGTGAGCTAAGCTTTACGTGAAGACCCTTGCTTGTTTGTTGTTTTTGTTGTCCCTCTTAACCACTGTGGCTGACTGCCTGCCTGGCTGGCTGCGCTCTTCATGGGCCACACAACAAATGCAAACAGGCAAAGTTTGTTTTGTCATTCGTTCGTTTGCAGTTGTTGGCCAAAAAGCAAACGCAGCGCCGGCAGAAGCCAAGCCAGAAAACGTTGCCAATGATTACGACAAATGCCGAAACGACCTTGCCAATTACTGTTTGCCGCACGCCCCCAAATACCCCCTCTCCCTCTCTCTCTCTCTGTCTCTAACTACATTCACCAGTTAGCCACAATTTTTACGTTTCTCCGTTTTTTTTAGCGCGCGCGCGCTGTTTGCGTATGCGTGGCGAATGCTGAGTGTGCGAGTGTGTGTGTGTGTGCGAGTGTGTGTATCTGTGTATTTTTAACTAAGCAATGTTAAAGGTTAAATGCAAACCTTAAAATTATTGACATATTGCGCTCTTTAAAAGCCACAAAGAGAGCTCACTCACAAAAAGATACATCCATTATCCATTTCATAGATACTTTTATTTATATGTATTTATTACACATTTTGTGTGTGCATAGGTTCGCTGAAAAGAAAAAAAAGCTTGCAAATAATTAGCGCGAATTTGACGCTAGTCGCTCAGCGCTGAGTGCGTGCGATCGCCTGCGTTTGTGTCTGTGTATCTATGAGATACTGCTGTGTATCTTTTGGCGTTCAAATTGTTTTTACATGAGCGCAAGAGAGAATGGGAAAGGCAGGCATAAAGAGAGCGGGTTTAGCGTACATGCATGTGTGTGTGTGTGAGCGATAGAGCCAGATAGAGAGAGAGGGAGAGATAGAGAGAGAGAGAGAGAGAGAGAGAGCGAGAGAGAGTGCGAGTGAGAGAGTATTTAAGAGGCAGAGCAACAAGCTTAGGCGCGCAAAATTTTTTTGTATGCCCTTGCAGACGGGCATTTGAAGTTTGTCAGGAAATGTGTAACGCTCAGAAGAACACATCTCCGATCCAGATGTATATATATTCCTGATCAGTATCAACAGCCCAGGGAGCTGAAATATAGCCATGCCCATATGTTTCTATTTACACTAGTCGCTCGGATTGAAGGCTTCAAGTCGGAACTTGCTGGATTGAAGCCCTTTACTGACAAATTTAGTTCTTGTGTGAAATAGTTTTATGCGTTTCAGGACATTCTTGTCAATGTTGACGTTTTACCATGTTCCAACAAATTCTTATACACAACGGACTTCTTTAATATGTAACTTTATGGGAAGAAATGATCGAAACTTTTTTGTTTTTCAAACTTGACAATTATAATAAATTATACACAAAAAATAAGTAGAATATATTTCCTTAGTAAGCATGTCTGCAAAGGGTATTTAATATACGGCCTGCCGTAAATAGCCTTTCATTCTCGTTTTTTTTTTCTTCAGCTTCAGATAGTTGGGCTGTGCGAAACGAGCGATCTATGTGCGCTTTTGGTGTGGCATCTTTTGTGTGTGCTTTTTGCAAAGTTTACGCACGGCCCCTGCCGTTGCGCCTGCCCCTGCCCCCGGCCTCTGCCCCTTTGTTTGTGTTTGCCTTTGTGTTTGCTTTTGTGTTTGTGTTTGTTGCTGGGCCAGTAGCGGCAACAGCAGCGGCAGCGACAGCACTTCGAAAGCCACTTAAGAGCTGTTGCGCACATGTGCCGCAAGAACTGAGCAACAAACACACAAACACACTCAGACGCACACATACACGCGTGCACATACACACACGCACACACACAGATTCGACTGCAAACCGGCAACCGATCTGGCCAAAGGCACGAAGCCCACTCGGACTTTGGCTCGGACTTGCGGCCCGTCTTAGTCTTAATCTAAGTCAATTCTAATGCCATGCAAGCTGCCCTGCTGCTGAGAGAGAGATACAAACAGAGTGTGCGAGAGAGAGAGTGCGAGAGTGTAATTGCAGCTTGCTGCGGCTTCGGCATTTGCCGCATGCGGCGGCGACGTTTGCTTTTTTGCTCTCAGCTGCAACTGCTTCGGCAGCGACTGCGACAGAGACGCTGCTGCTAAAGTTTTAGCTATTGTTGTTGTTGTTGTTGTTGTTGCTGCTGCTGCTGCTGCTGCTGAACGTGTTCTTTTTAGACTTTTAGCATTATTTGCAGCATTTGCAACGAACACTCGCTAAAAACAACTGCAACCGCAACGTTGTGGCACGCGTTTCTATCGCAGCAAAAAAAAAGAATAATAAAAAGACAAAAAAAAGAAAAATACAAACATACACACAAATCAAACGATCTTAGTCTTAGACTAATTGTGGCTAACTGTTATCAAGTGCAAAGTGCTGTTCAGAATCTCTCAGTCAGACAATTGGCAAACATCGGTGCAATATATACAAATACATACATATCTATGGATAAAACAAAATTTACGTCTGCTTCAAGTTGAAACCAAAACATCTTAAGCTTATCAAACAAGCATGCAACATGTGTCGCGCAACATATTGAACTTTTTGCGCGTTCCAATGAGATCAGCGGCTATTTGAGCAACGCACACCCGCACACATACACACACACACACACACACACACACACACACACACACACACACACACACACACACACACACACACACACACACACACACACACACACACACACACACACAGAAACACACACCCACGTACACACCAAAGTGTGTGGCAGGCTTGAGGCTGCTGCAATTTCAGTGGGTTTTCTTGGATGAGACTTACTAAACATAATTTTCTTGACACAAAATGCCTAGGCGATAAGCTCTGGTCTTAGAAATTCTGTTTGCAGTTCTGCGAAGCAATCAATCAAGTTGGCATTTCTATGGAAAACAATATATTTGATTTTTGTTGCTATATTTCTGAGCCCTTGCTTATAATTTAAATTAAAAAAAAAAAAAAGAAACACATTTGCATATGCCCACTTATTGCTTGGCATAATTTCGTATTAATGTAATGCTATATATCCACTTATCATAAACACAATCTGTATAGAGTTCGATAGAAATGCAAATTGTGAAAATGTGCTGTAAGAGAACAACAACAAATGCAAATTGCAAATTTTCACTAAAACAACAAAAGCTGCACGCACACAAAAGGCATGCCCCAGCCCAGCCCCAGTCCCAGCCCCAGTCCCAGCCACAGTCGTCCCCCACTCGATCCCGAAAGCGCAGCTCACAAACAGCTGATGATGATCATTAAAGCTGGGGAGCTGCAAATAAGCAGAGATCCTCATCATGTGGTATCTGTCAGTCCCTTTAGGAATATATCTAAACATGTGAGGAGCACATTTTGCGCACAGGCAGCCGACATCGGTTTGAATTTTATTTTATTTTATTTCATTTTTTGCGCTTAATTTTCAGACAATTCCATGGAATTAAAATGATATGAGACTGAGACTTTTATATATTTGGGGGATGATGTTGTTGTTTGAGCGCACATGAAAACGGCAACGAAAAAAGAGACAAAACAAGACTTACACACGCACACACACACACGCACACACACACACGCACTCACACCAGATATAACGCCGAAGATCGGGTACTAGGTTAGCAGGCAAAAGAGGTATAGAAATAAAATAAATGCTCTTAAGCAGACGAGCGGCTGTCGAACAAAAAGAGGAAATTCGCAAATTGCTCGTTTGAAAGCGAAAACCCAGCGTCAGATACACAGACACAGCTACAGATACAGATACAGATACAGATACCGACGCAGATACAGATACAAATACAGATCGCTGCTGTAAGCGCCTTCAAGGGTGAGACAATAGCTGCGACTGCGACTGCGACCGCGACGCCGACAGCGACAGCGACGTCTTCGTGTCCAATATGCCCTTGATCGTTGCTGCTGCTGCTGAAATGTCGCCGCAGCTGCGACGCCGGCAGATGCAGCAACTGCCGACAGCGGCAAAGTATCTGTAAGCTTTGCCCGTCCCTTGCCAGGCCCGATGCCGCGCCAGCCCCGGCTCGGCCCCGAATTTTGGCAACACAAAAAAAATATATATATACATTTATACAAAAAAAAAGTAAAAAAAAAAAATAAGAGCGTTTGCCGTTCGCCGCCTTTAGATACTCGCCTTTTAGATACTCGCGCATTTTTGCTCAGTTTTTGCGCTTTGTGCTTTTTAAATTATGTTATTTATTTTGTTTACTTGGGAATTGGCAAGGGTCCGTCTGTCGCATGGTCGGAACGGCCGACCAGTCGGCGGTACGTGCTGATGCGGTACGCTTTGGTTTCGTGTGCTTCGAGCATATTTACAAGCATATCCGTATCCGTCAGATACGAGCGCAGCTACGAGTCCAAGCTACTAATTAGCCAGCCAACTAGTAGTACGCACTCTTTACTAATTTTTACTTGCTTTCGGGGCGGTCGGGGACTCTCTTTAACAAATTGTGTAATCATTTTTGCGAAAATGCCAACAGCAGCTACAACAGCAGCAGCAGCAGCAGCAGTAACAACAAAAATTGCTAAAAACAACAAATATTTCGCGTGTTCTTCACAGCTCATAAAATTGTTTACTGCCGTTCGCGTAGGAAGTCGCACGTAGGCAGTGGAACGTTAGAATGCGCGTGTGTATTTGCAGATACAAAGATACAATCAAATTATTGATGATTGGTGCTACAACAAATTGATGTGCATGTTGGACACGTTAAATACTGCAGCATACCAAAAAGCAAAAAATAAAACAAAATCAAAAACAAATCAATCAATTTTAAACATAATACAAAACTACACAAAATCAAAATCAACTGAAACAAAAATACTCAAACCAGATACTCTGCATGTATCTCAACTTTATTCACACGGTGCAAATGTTATAACTATCTTTTTGTGGAAATGACCAGGTTGGTGCTAAGCTTTTAATCCATCTATTTCAACAAAAAAATGTCTTGTGCACACGTGTGTTACATAATAAAAAAAAAATGCGAAGGGCATTTAATTTTATAAATTTATTAGTTTTAATTCATTTCATTTCATACAGAATATTAGGATATTTATGTACAATATCTATAACAAATTTATTAAATAATTTGTTTCTTAATTATATTGCACAGGAAATATCATTTTTTATGAAGCGCCAGATACTTTATGCTCCACATATAATGATATTTCCTGTGCAATATAATTAAGAAACAAATTTTAGACATATTATTTAGATACATTGTCTAAGAGCATATGTGTGGATATTCACTTAACTTGGAAACTTTTTTATAGTTACATTACCTACAAGTTATTATGTTTTATACAAAATTAAGTACGAGGCAATGCTTCAATATCTATGATTTAGTTTGCGATACTTTTATGTCAATTATTTAGATACAATATTTGAAAGTATCGCTAGGTAAACTATGTTTCATACCACATATATTTATTGCTTCTAATAATATTGAAATTATTTACAAATTTTGTTAGTCCTTGAGTTTAAAAATTGCCGTTTGAGATCAATTTGTAGAATTCTACATTTCAACAAATTTCTTGTTCCGAATTTAGCATAAATGTATCTCAAAATCATGCACAGAATTTTAGGGCAATGATTTTAGCCAATTCCACCCGCATATGTGGAAAATTGTAAGGAACGGTTTAATGAAAGTTTTTTGATTACCTGGTCCTCTTGGTCATACACTTATTTTCAAAGATCCTTGCACTAATTTAATTGTGAAAAGCATCTCTTCTTGCTGTAAATGATGCTCAATGATTTGGTGTTTGAGCTTACGATTTCAAGTTCATTTCCAAAGATCTTCATGAACATTCATTTATGTTTAACACTTTACGCAGAATCCTACATTCCTAGTTGGCAAATGAACGAATTTTTCAGTTTTATAATTTTTAAGGAACTGATGAAATTTCAGTTTCAGCGGTTTTGCAATTCCACCTGCAACTGTGGAAATTAAGCGGAAAACCTTTAAATGATTATTCTTGTAGACGGAAAACGTTAATTTGATTCAAATTTTGATTCAAATCCGCTTGACTTCAATCCATAATATCTATATAAATTATATACAATTTCTCACGTGCGTGCAGATGCAGAAAAGCAATGTCCTTAACCTTTAAGGTTGGCCCGGACTAAGCTAAGTAATACACATGAGTTACACACATAACTCTATTATGCGAAACCAAATTCTTTTTTATAATAAATGCTTAAGAAATAAAATTATGTAAATAATCCGAAGCAACCCACTTGCTGCATTTGAAATTTGCGTACAATTTGAAATATTGCTAATGACCGACACTGGTGGCCCGCATATTGTGCACAGCTTGATATCAATTGGGCACGCAAGAAAATGAATTTTTGCAACGCAAACTTTAATCGCTGCCATTAAAGTTTTGGCTAAAGTTTGAGCATAAACATCGTCTGCCCGCGCCCATATGGTCAAAGTCAAATTGCCCGCAAATGTTGCCAAATCAATTCCAATTTAGTCAACGACTTGTGAAGGACAAATACAAAGCGATCGTGCGGCTATAACTGGGGCTGAGCTAGCTGCTGGTGCTGCCAGCCAAATAGGAGCAGCTCCAAGCTCCGGCGACGTCATCAATTTAAAATAGTTGATGGCAAACAAAATACGCAATGCATGCTAATTGAATTAATTTGAATTGTGGCACCTACAACAACTACCGATTTTGCATTTGTTAACTTGTTAATTTAGTTGTTGTTGTTGTTGCTGCAACTGATATTTTGACAGCTTTGGTTAGGCTCGCGTGGGCGCAAGCGTGCTTGTTGCATGTTGTGGGTGGCAGCAACATCGCCAGATCAAGAGCAACAGCAACTGCTGTAGCGACAATTAAGCTATGTCAGCGAAATTGGCTCTTTTCCAGCTAAGTTTCGCTTTATTTAAGATGTCGTCACCGGAAACTGTTGAAATTTGCATTTACCTGTCATTCAGTCTTTTTACAGCTATAGATTAAACCATATTTTGCAGCAAAAATTGGCAACATTTACCAACTATGCAACTGAAATGTTTAGCTTCTTGAGCTCTTAATTATCTATTTTCAGTTTTATTCAGCTGTTTTTAGCCTTAAATTCAGAATGAATTTTGCAGCAGGAGTTGGCAGCACTGACCAGCCTGCTTATTTAAATTTGTAGCCATTTGAAGCTACTTCTTGGATTTACCTTTACTTAGATATTTTTAGACTATAATTTACCCTTTTTTGTTTAATTAAGCTTTTTTAAACCTTATTTATATGATATTTTTACATTGAATTCAGCTTTAATTTTACTGCGATAGTTGGCAGCGCCGACAGCCCTGCTAACTTAAATTAATTTTTATAAGCTATTTTCATCATGAAATTCACCCACTTTTTTGCAGCGACTTTTGGCAACCAAGAGCAATGGTTAAATGTATAGCTATTTCTAACATTATTTAGCTATTTTAGCATTAAATTTAGCTGCAAATTTGCAGCAATAGTCGTTATTTGAATTAGCTACTTTTGTTGCCGCGACAGCAACAATTTATTTCCTTTTTATTATGTTGGCAACATTATTTGCCATTTTCAATATTACATTCGGCTACTTTTTGCAACGACAGTTGGCAACACTGGTCAGTATGCTTATTCAAATTTTTAGCTTTTTTCATCATACGATTCAGCTACTTTTGTTGCCACGACAGTTGGCAACGCTGGAAGCAGGCCCCGTTGTCTAATCAATGCAAATGCACATTTTTGGACAATTGTGCGCAAATGTAATTTATAACATTTAACATTTATTTTGTTTTCTGCTTTTGTTGCTTTATTAAACAAATGGCAAGGCATTTCAGTGATGTCATCCTGCAGCTGCTAGCTCGATCGCTGCTGCTGCTGCTGCTGCTGCTGCTGTGACAGACACGCGGGGTCAGGTTAAAGTTGAATCATTTGTTTGTTGCGCAAACACGATTTTTCTTTTAGCCAACATTGATACGAGCATTTGCCAATGCAATTGCCTGCTAATTAATTGAAAGCCATTTTATCGCTGCGCACAAAAGCCGACTGGCAATCAATTTCGCACACACCAACAACAACAACAACAACAGCAACAGCAACAGCAACAACGGCAACTGTTGCTATTATTACGTGATATTGCAACAATGGAGCAACAATAACGGCCAATATGAGCTGCAGCAGCAATCTTCAGTGGCAGCTTCTAACTGCTGTTTTGTTAGCATTTCGAACACGCCCCAAAAATAAAAAATAAAAATTGGGCACAGGCTCGCCCAGACAAAGTCCTCCAACGAAACAAAAGCTGAAACAAACAATAACACTTTTGACAACAACAACAACAAGCAAGCTCGACTAGCTGATGCCCTGCAATCTGCCAAATGTTGGCATTAATCAATGCGCATGTCTACGCCGCCCACAATTGCTTTAATCGATTTTGCCCGACTAACTGATGCCCTGTGAAAGTGTGTATCCGTCTGCTCAAATCGAATGTGCTCGACTACTTGATGTCGCCCGAAGAAAAATATTGTTTGATTTTGAGAGAGTTATTGGGAATTCAAAATTAATCTGCGTATGCTTAGATAGACAGATTGACATAGACTTGGCTATTGGTGTTCTTCAAGTTAAAACTGATTATTCTCGAAACGAACTTGATCCGTTTTTAAATCTTAAGGGCTCTAGAGGGCTCATAAGAGATATGGACTTTACTTTTGGTGCTGATAAAGAAAAAATCGATTTTTATCGGTTTCGTGAGAATACGAAACAAACTTAATCTGAATCTCCATTTGAAGTATCTGATATTTCTAGTAGTTACCCAAGTAGCAAGAAGGCGGAGAGAATGAGAGACATGGGCGTTTGGCCTATTGCTGCTGATCAGGAATATATTTACTTTATGGTGTTGCCGCTATTTCTGCCTGTTATTTAAATTTGCACACAACCATTATACCCCCATTCTAGCCACTTTCGATGAGTACAGGGTAGATCAACGCCAGACAACAGCTTGAGATTCTTTTTCGGTTTTTTTGTTTTTTATTGTATTTTTGTGATTTTTTGGCGTTTTCAGTTTCGTTTTTCGCTTTTGTTGGCCATCGCCTGCTGGCTGCGCTGCTTAGCTGTTTAGCTGTTGGCCATTTGGCCGCTGGCTTACAACAAATAAACTGCTTTTAACCTTGAGCCGTGCGCATTTAGTTTGTAAGTCACGTCTAAGTCGCCATCGCCGCTCAAAGGTTTGACAGTCGCCGATGACGGCAACGCCGACAGCGACGCCAGCTGCGCAGTCAGCGGCGACGACGGCTACGGCACATGCGCTCGTTTTGGCCACAGGCTGCGACGCGTCGCGTCGCCTCGGCTTTAGCTTCGCTTTGAATTTTTTTTTCATTTGTATTTTTTGCTGCTGTTGTTGCCATTTTTGCAAATTTTTGGCGTGCCTCGTTTTTACCCTTTTACCTTGTTCTTGTTGGCAAGTGTGTGTGTGTTTTTTGGAACTTGTAAAGCGGCTGCGCCGCTTGACCAATTTGAGTTTGAGTTTTGCACGCCACGAAAAAGGTTAAAACATGTTTTTGAAGTAGGTTTTCCAGTCGTTTCTAATGGCCTGCAACATTTAACCAACTGGGACGTTGTGAGGCAGTTCCGAGGTGTGAGCCGTCTCAGGTACGAGCTTATGTAATGCCAGCATGTCGCGTTAACCAAAACGATAATGAAATCAAATAAAATTAAACAAAAATTGAAATGCCCATTCAAGTAGCTTAACAATATAATGTCCAGTATCAGGGTTAACTTGATTTTTATCAAGTTGCATAAAATCAAGTTTTAGTATATTGATTACAAGTCTGCCCAGAATGAATTTATAGTGTATCTACGTATTGTATATGGCCAAACAAGTTAAGGTCCACTCTATTTGACACATATACATATGTATCTTGGCACATGGGAAAGT